TTTAAGTTAACAAACGAATTTAATTTATTAAATGTTTAAAACATTCAATTTTAAGTATTAAATGATTTTATCAAACATCCAGTAAATGTGGGGGTTATCATTTGAGTTGGCACTTCTTCATCCCTAGTCCGAACCTTAACACACGCAAAATTACAGGAAAAACGAAAGTCTACAGTCACAATTTGGAGGAGTTGTGTACTCAAAGTTCTTTTTTATTATTATTATTATTATTATTATTTATAATCATAATAATTTAATCCTTTTTTTCCGCTCCAACCATCATACGGGGTAGAAATAGATTCAGCAATATTGTACAAACTTACAAAATGACCAAGCTAAAGACATGACGTTTATCTAAAAAGACGATTCGACACCAAATTGAAAAATGAAACAGACAAGATAAGATCGTGCAGTGTTTAGAATCTAAAAAACTAGATGGAGGGGACTGGGATCTAGACATCACATTTTAAATTCAAACAATAATTGAGTCGAATTATTCAGACTCGATTTAAATAGGACTTAACTCGATTAATTTTTTAGATTTATTTAAATGGGTTCGTTAATAACTCGTAAAACTTAATTTGTTTATGTGTAAAATATTTAAATTACACAGGCTCGGTTCATTTTATAAACGAGCTGAGCTTATTTTAAATTTTGGTATAACATCAGCACTTTTCTGATGGTCTACGGTAGGGGGTCTAGCTGAAGAGAACATATAAACTAAAAAAAAATGCAGTGAAATTTCAGAAAAGACAGGGGGTATCGTTGAAAATAGACCCATTGAGAGGGAGCGTATATAAAATTTTCCCAAAAAAAATAACAACATTAAAATAAAAAAACAGTGCTAAAACCAGATGCAGCAGTCCCAAACTAAAACCTGGGAATGGTATTGGCGTCGCCTGGTGTATTTACATGTAATAAGTTCATTGAAATAGTCGAAATATATACAACCTGTTTGACCAGCAACTGGCTTTTAAAAATTATTAGTTGTTGCATACATACATGCGTTGTACATGAATAGTTTTAAGTTATAATTCCTGTATATAATTTATAAGGTTATATGTATGAATAATTAATAGTAAAAATAAGAGTAAACCTAATGAAAATATGAGAAAAAATAATAAACATAAAACCAAGAAAGATTAAAAAATCCTAAATGAATATTATAACTACCAACAGTCAAAAAATCTACCTCTCATATCTATCTATATTAGATATTATATTTGTTTGAGTTTGTATATGATGGATCCACAGTGCATCCAACCACCAGATAAAAATTTTCATTATCCTCATTCTTATAGAGAAAAGAAATGTATGGATTGCTAAAAGTGAAGAAGTTGTTGCCGATATCATAGAGACATGAAACAGGTGACAAAATAGTCACTCTTTGCCACTCGGTCAAATATCTCCAACCATTAGACTACTTACCTCTACTCATCCGCCCTTAATCTTTGACTCTGTCATCAACTAAACAAAATATCCAATATGAAATATGTAATAAAAAAAACTCGTACAACAACAACAACAACAACAACAACAACAGAAAGTGAACAAGAAGAACAAAGATCTATGAGGGAAGAGTGAACAACGAAATCCTCTTATTCAGTTCCTAATCTGTAGATGCTTCTAACCGCAAGATCCCAAAATAGTAAAAATAGCAATAATTCATTCCCCATACCCATAACCAAATAGTAAAATTACTCACAAGAACAAATACCGATTTCCCAAAAAGAAAAAAGACTTGTTCCGTGTGATACTGTGGAAAGCCTTGTTCATTAGATATCCCCACCTTCAAGTAGGATAGATGACAAGATTTTTGGATAAGCAACAAAATAAGCAAGGTTGTCAACAAATTCACATTATTCTTAATTATAATCGAGTATAGCACCAGAGAGTCTAATTCACTTGCTCTTCACTCTCACTATACACTTTATCAATAGAACGCAATAACCTTCCTATTACTTTTCATGAAGTGAAGTATGCACCTGGTTAGTATGTTGAAAAGGTTGTCCTCTATAAGGAAATCAAATCCAAAGGCATTTTCTTCATGTGACTAAAACAACTGACTTAACTACGGGAAGTTGAGCAACTATAGAACACAAACTTTCACAATACACATTGATATAGAAAATAGGGGAGGATGCCATAGTAAAAAGAATATATTTTATTGGATTAGGACCAGCAAGTATAGTATGAGAAAGTTATAGTGGACAATAACTTTTTTTTTTTAAATTTGAAGGAACAACCTACAACACATGCTATTAGTTGCTGGTGGCCTTGTTCCTTGTTTTGGCCAGATAAAAAGTTAACAGGTCGGTGCCCAACATCGAATGCCTTTGAATCCAAGATTTGTTATAGTCCAAATTTTGCCTCTTGGAGCTGAGCGCCTCATAGCTGGAATGGTCAAGGAAGGAAAGTTTTCGTTTTATACTCCACATTCATTGGGAGATTGTTGTTATCGTGATCTGCCCAGTCAAGGAAGGGAGGAGATTACTGCTTCAAGACTCTCAACATTTTCGGCCTTATCCTAGGAGATGACTAAAGCTTGGTATTCGAATTCCAACTGAAGCCGAGGTTTGCTACAATCCAAACCCTGCCTCTTCAAGTTCGAATACTCCAACGTCAATCATGTGCATGGAGAAGTATTTAATGGTAAGTGGTGGGCCATAGGCATGCATGGTCAGTTTGTTAGAATGGAAGAATATTAAGTGGGGAACATAATCAAAAGGATTAAGCTAATACTTAGTTTCGGCTAAGCTTTAGAAAACAATTCTTTTATGTAAGCGGCAAGGTTTATGTCCTCCCCTATTAATAAATTTTGCCCTAAATAGGTTTCACTTAAAAAAATAACTGCCATAGCTACTGACAGACCAATTGGGTGCTTAAGGCCAACATGCCAAAGATTACTAAGCCCCCAAATTGTGTTTGAGGGTTGGCATTTATTGTAAGTAAAAATGGCCTAGGTAGAGAGTAGAAGAAGAATAATGAACATTCCCAATCACTCCAAGTCCACCATGACCTTACAAGTGCCACAATAGTAGGTCTAATGAAGAACTGCCTAACATTATACATAGTTCTTATGAGCATCAATCGACCAAGTGTCAAGATATATTTATCACACAAATATTTAAAACTACCATTGGATGAAATGAAAAAAGAAATGAAGTTAATATCAACTGTAGGTTTTAACTCCCACCTCACAAGAACCCCCCCCCCCCGGCCAAAAAAAATAAATAAATAGCACGTTAGGTGATTTGTCCATGTGTGCTTGTCTATAAAGTATTATCAACATAAGAAGAGAGGTAGAGAGGAAATTAGATATACCTTGTGCTGAGCCATAAGAGTACATCACCATTATAGAAAATTCTCACTGCCAACACTTTGGGTGGATTACAATCTCATATAATTATTGTCAAAACAGCTTAACAATCTAATTTTTTTGAATTCAAATTTGAGATTAAACATATATTTGTGATGGATCGATTGAAAAATAGATCGACAACTTTTACTCGCTTTGTATAAAATTTCAATTCAACATCTCTACTGGGCAATTAATGGAGCTTCCTTTTTCCTGCATTGCTTTCAAGAACAGAGGACTTCAATTCACCTCAGTCGGATAAGAAAATCAAGCCCAAAAAAATTCAGATACATTTGTATAGAATAGAAATGTAGGCACACATGGTGGCTATTGTGAGAAGAGTCAAAGAATTCACTACAAACATGGTTAATTTGGACAAACCCTCATAGGTTTTAGAGGTTGAGGTTAGCTGTTATGTTATCAAAGAAAATTGGTGGAGACACGATATTTAGTACAGTGATCATATTTACAAGAGTTTTAATCTAAAAATTCCTATACCCAAAAAGGAGGCCAACTTGTGTTTTTATCATGCACCAGATCAAAATAAAACAAAAATGAGAGAGAGAGAGAGAGGGTGTAGTCCCACATAGCTTAACACTCTATTGGAGCACTGAACTGAGTGGCTATGGTTTGCCTGTAGACCACAAGAAACCCACATAAAACTCAAAACTACCTTAAATCCAAATTTTTAAAGTTTTGTCCACATAATCAAAATATAACATAATCTACACTGGAACCCGCTGCTATAAGATGATGACCAAGTGAAACAGTGGAGAGAAGGAGAACACGAAACCAAATAACAAAATAAGTAGGGGGTCGTTCGAGTTAACACTAAATAATTGAAATCAAATGCCAGAAACGAACAAGAATTCACCTGCCAAAACATAAAAAACCAAATCACATTCCTAATCAGAATGACAATCAAACATACCTAATTCTCTCAATGGACGCAATTCCAAAACTCTCACCATAGGTTTTGAATTCGAGTCGATTCGCCGACTGTGAGAGCTAACTATTTCCGAGAGGGAGAAAGATTTTAGGGGGTGAAGTAAGTGCAGTAGATAGAGAGAGAATTGAAAGCACGAGCAATGAACGGAAGTAACGTGCATGCATATGAAGTGGCCAAAGACGACGATTCTGTGTGTCATTAAATTTAGAGGACAACCAAGGCATACTCGTAGTGTTGGAGGATAAAAATAGAAAAATAATGTTTTTCATGTATGTTGATATTTTAAAGTAGGATAGATTTACGGCAAAAAAAAAAAAAACAACAACCACAACTTGGAGAAAATATTCATTGCAATGGTGACACCATTCAATTAGAAGACAATAAATAGAAAATGTGGATGCCACAAATCTTATGTGTTGTTGAAGGATTCGATGATTACTGATAGTTATGAAAATAGTAGGTTCACTTTTCTTATTTCTAATTTTCTAATTGAACGATGATAACACACATAAGTGATCACGTGACGTCCCTTTGTATTGAATATTTACTCCACAACTTAGCTGCTTTTTCTAATGCTTATCTTTATTTGTTCTTTAGACGCAGTATAAATACCCATATAGAGCAGTGTAGCATCCACCAACAACAAATCCACCAGCTCTATACTATTCATTGTCAGCGGAGAAGAGAAGAAGGATGGTGAACACTGCCGGTCAGGTCATACGTTGCAAAGGTAAGAATATCTATTAGCAATTGAGATATGTGTCTCTCATCGCTTGCTTTTGCATGTGTGCGTGTGTGTGTTTTTTTGGGGGAGGGGGGGTATCTAAAGTTTCAGTTTTTTCTTGTCCTTCATGTGTTTTTGCTATGTTGGTTTAAATTTATCTCCAACTTCATAGCTTGAGGTTATTAGTATTGTGTAGCTAGCTGTTAAACAATCCCAGCAGCTTGAATTTAGTTCAAGTTCGGCTCGAATGTAATCATAGTGGATGTTTTTGGGAAACCCCGAAGTGTTTTTACTTAAGTTTTCTTGTTAAAACACTTGTTTTGTGGTATTTCATGAGATAGTAATTTGAGATGATGGGGTGGGCTAATAATATAATCTTGTGTGTTTGTTTGTTGTTGCAGCTGCTGTGGCATGGGAAGCAGGTAAGCCACTAGTGATTGAAACAGTGGAGGTGGCTCCTCCACAGAAAATGGAGGTTCGTCTTAAGGTCTTATACACCTCCCTCTGCCGCACTGATGTCTACTTTTGGGAAGCTACGGTAATTAATTAACCATGATTCACGGACTAATCTTTTTTCATTTTATATTATTGGACTTTGCACGATGATTTTGATCATTCATACAGTTATGTTGACAAATAAAATTGGTTTTCTTGCAAATCTTTCAGGGCCAGAAGCCTTTGTTTCCCCGAATCCTAGGGCACGAGGCATCAGGGTATGTCCTCAATTTCTGTTAAGAAACATCTTATTAACTCGATTGAATCGCCGATTATCATGTTCATCTCTTTTTTAATATTTGTAAAAATCCAATGAGAATGAAATTTCTTGATTGTTTGCTTAGGATTGTGGAGAGTATAGGAGAGGGCGTGACGGATGTTCAGCCAGGTGATCATGTCTTCCCAGTGTTTACTGGGGAATGCAAAGAATGTGTTCACTGCAAATCCAAAGAGAGCAACATGTGCAATCTCCTTAGGATTAACACAGACAGGGGAGTGATGATTCATGATGGAAAATCACGATTCTCAATCAATGGCAAACCAATTTTCCATTTCGTTGGAACATCTACCTTCAGCGAGTACACTGTGGTCCATGTTGGTTGTGTCGCCAAGATCAACCCCCTCGCCCCTCTTGACAAAGTTTGTGGCGTTAGTTGTGGAATCACCACAGGTACAAGAGAATTATAAATCTAATTTTGAACCCAAATTCCTGAAGGCTTGATTGAGGGTGAGGATCCTATACTGCTAGAAAATTAACAATATAGGGCTTGTTGATTAAAATAGCGTCATTTTATATCAAAATAACGTTGTTTTGTTAAATAAAACTACGCCGTTTTGGCATATATGACGATGTTTTAATTCACAACACCTCACAGCAAAGAAGTCAGACTCACTGACTGATGCTTCTGTATTAGTGATTGAACAAAATTTTCATTTGACTGTTTTTAGGACTTGGAGCCGCTTTGAATGTAGCCAAACCGCCAAAAGGCTCAACTGTGGCAGTGTTCGGATTAGGAACTGTTGGCCTTGCAGTGAGTTTCTCAGATTACCTTACAGAATGTTTAGTGTTTTTTATGGTGCTAATTAAATTTTGGAGGATTAGTGTTTTTATATTGTGGTAACTATTATGTGATTAGGCTGCAGAAGGAGCCAGAATTGCTGGGGCTTCAAGGATTATCGGTGTTGATCTGAACTCTAGCAAATTTGAGCTGGGTAAACCATTCACTCTTTGGCTCACCTCGGTTTTGAATCATTCAGGCTCTTTTAAATTGCAAAACGAATCAAATCTAATTAAATTTTCTAGGCTCGCAATTTGTCTTGCTTGTAATTCTTGGAATTCTTACTAGTATTCGAAAATGATTCTACTTTAGTAGAACTTTAGTAGAACCCATTAAAAAGACAACTCATAAGATTTTCTGCATGTTCTGTACAGCTACAAAGTTTGGTGTTACAGAGTTTGTGAACCCAAAAGAACATAACAAGCCAGTTCAAGAGGTTGGTTTCTGTCTAACCATTAGTTTTCTCTTATAATACAACTTTCCCTTTATGTTTCCAATGAGATAAAGATATTTCTCTTGTATTTATGTGTTTAGGTTATTGCTGAGATGACTGATGGAGGAGTGGACAGAAGTATTGAATGTACTGGGAATGTTGATGCAATGATTTCAGCATTTGAATGTGTCCATGATGTAAGTTCCTTTGCATATCTTTTTCCTTTTTTATTGCGGTCACAGGTATCCAGACTGATTTACACACTCCTCGACTAATTCCTTCTCTGATCCAGTCAAAAATAGACTATTTATGTCGAGACTAAAAAAATTCATGTGATATAAATCTCTCGAGGTGTAGCCCCAAAAAAATTGTTATGTTTCAAACGCAAAATTTGCACATCTCTTTCATTCCCTAGTTAACTTCAGTTAATGCTCTGTTGCCCCTTTTTAACAATCCCACCATAGGAACTCATGCACAATCTACTAACTAGTTCTTGATATGAACTTTAAAATAGCGCAACCTATTAAAATTAATAATAAACAAGGCATGTTAGTTTTAACTAGTTCAAGCTCGTTTAGCTGGTATTTTATCAGCAAACGTCTAATTTTTTTCCATTTATTGATCAAGTATTCGAATCATTTTACAAACAGATAATTTTTTACTTGATTTTGCTAACATATGAATCAAGTGCATTTTCAATTTATAGGGCGTATTGGCCGAGGGTTTTGGTTGAGAGCGAAGTAAGTCATAATTCACCAATTAGGCATGGTTGCCAAAATACAAAACCTATTAATGAATAGTTTGGACTAGTGTCAAGGCATCTGAGAAGGTCCGAATTAGACGGAACTGATTTTATTGACAAATATATGTGCGTTACATTTACGTTAAATATATATATTTATCAACTATTGAAATATAATGTAAAACTGCCATTACAGGGCTGGGGTGTGGCTGTTATTGTGGGTATTCCACATAAAGATGCTGTCTTTAAGACCCACCCCATGAAGTTATTGCAGGAGAGGACACTCAAGGGTACCTTCTTTGGAAACTTCAAAGCCTCAGACCTTCCTTCGCTCGTTGAGAAGTACATGAACAAGGTAAATTTTCAAATCCCACCTTCTCTTATAACCAAATTTCTTTCCTAATTAACGAGTCTGCACGAGTTGATTCAATGTTTGAACAAAGACAATACGCAAGATGCACATGTCCTAAGTTCGAGCTTCATATTAACCGATGCAGTTACTTTCATCCGAGATTTGCTTTGCAATCATGATTCCAAATGGTGCGTAGTTAGGATTTGCATTTGTTGTGGAGCAGCTCTTACCAACCTCTTGTGACTGGTGCAGGAACTTGAATTGGAGAAGTTCATCACCCACGAAATCCCATTCACGGAGATCAACAAGGCCTTTGAGTACATGCTGAAAGGGGAAGGCCTTCGATGCATCATTCGCATGGATGGTTGAAGAGCAACAAACCCCTCTGATTTCAGTGTTCAGTTGTTTGTTTGTTCAGCTGAAAATAAACTATGTTCAGTTGTTTGCTGTAAATTATTTATGCCCTAGCAATATCTCGTAACTAAGCTATGACACTGCGAGTGTATTAGAGTGTGTACAACTGGAGAGCGTATATAATGAGAGTGTGTGTACATATATAATGAGTTAATTGGAGTATGTGTAACTACGTATTGTGAAATATTTGTGTTGGATTTATGTATATAAATAATTATATCCTTCAAGTTTTAACCGAGTTTCAATTCAATCATTTTCATCTAGAACTAATGGATTTGTCTAGAGTACAAAAAAAAATAATAATAATAATAATCAGAACCATACCTCCATTTATCATATTTGGGGTTACTTTTACTATATTTGTGGGTATTTTACTATTGTTGTAGTACCCAAAAAAATAATAAAAATAGATACTACAACATTGGTAAAAATATCTACAATTGTAATAAACATACCCACAAATGTAATAAAAACACCTACAAATATAATAAATCACCCACATATGTGATAAGTTTTTTTCTATGTAAGAAAAGTGGTAAAAATAGTTACCACAAATGTGATTATTAAATAAAAACACTCACGACAATGATAAAAATATTTACAAAATTGATAAATTTTTTAGTCATAAAATAACCTATAAAATTGTAAAAATACCCTCGAAATAGTAAATTCTAGTCAAATTCAGATTTATTAGTTTGTTCCGACAAAAAGATGTCACAGGATTTGCCCATAAGCATATATTTGTCTAACAAAAAATATTTATATCAAATATATTAATATTTCTCTCTAAGTTTCGCACTATCTTTCAAATTTCCATTTTGTGTCTCTCTGTCGAGTTTGGTATATTCTTTCTCTCCAAATTAGATGAAATAAAATAATATTATTTAGCATAAAAAAATTTTCACCAAACTAATATACTTTTTCACACTAGTGTAAATTGAGACATCATTAAACTTTAGGAAAAATTTTATGGATACTTTTTCTAGTTAGGTATAAATTCAATTTCTTTTTTTAGGGAGGAAGAAGAGGATTTGAATCTTTAACATCAAGAGAGTAAAGTTTTTTGAAACTTCACTACACTCTTTTTATTTTATAATTTCAAATCAAAGACACCCTTTAACGGTAACTTCTAACTCTGCCAATACATAAAGTGATGATTTTACTATATATTTTTTGAAAATATCAAAACTACTCAATAGACTAAAATGTCTTCAATCCTTTCCCCATTACATATAGAGAAAATTTTATCTACACTCCCTGTAATAAAATCTATATTCAATAACACCCCTCTCGATTCTAAAACTTCACTGCATACTTTTCTAGTTATACTTTCAAATCAATGACACCTCCTTAACGCTAACTTTTGTCTCTGCTAGTAAATAAAGTAATGATTTGACTAAGTATTTTATAAAAAATGCTAAAATTATCGTTTGTTATGTAAATGGACTAAAATGCCCATATTTTTTTCTCATTATATATGTTCTAATCAACCAATAAACGTAATTTTTATCATTATATTATCTCAATACATATTTAACATTTTAAAGCGTTGCATGATAACTTTGTTATAATATTAATCATCATATTATCACTCATTTAGTTACATAATTAAGTTTTTATAATTTTATAGTTAAAAAAAAATTATAATAAAAATTACAATCAATAAAGTCAATATCAAAATCTCATCAATTTCTAACTCTTTTGCTATCATGCATGACGTCACCTGACCATTCTTCAATCATCACACTTCATATATAAAATTTAAATATTATTTGATAAAATTTAATATTAATTGAATAAATTTGGTTTAATTTGATAAATTTAAATACTGATTTGGTGTTAATTTGATAAAATTAAATATTAATTCATTTTTGATTTAATAAAATTTAATATTAATTAAATTAAAATTGACATTAATTTGACAAAGTTGAATATTAAATTAATTAAATTTAATATTCTATTTAATATATTAGATTTTAATTTAATAAAATTAACTGTCAATTTTGTGTTGATTTGATGAAACTAAATAATAAATTAATGTTAAATTAAAAAAATAATATTAATTTAATGAAATAAAATATTAAATTAATATAACTAAATACTAATTTAATAAAATTAAATATCAATTTGTAGTGATTTGAAGAGATGAAATATTAATTTAGTTTAAATTAAATAAAGGACATTAATTTAATAAAATTAAATACTAAATTAATGAATCTAAAAATTAATATAATAAAACTAAAAGAGTGTGTTGAAATTTCAGAATTGAGAAAAAATATTGTAAAAAATAGGTTAATTTATAAAGAGTGTTATTGAAATTATGTCTATTTATAAAAAAAAGTGACTAAAAGTAATCCTATAAAATATTCAATGATATTTCTACAAATTACCAATTGCCGTTAACGCTGTAACTCAACAAACACTGACATGAAGTGACAGTGAAATTTTAGAATAAAAAAAAAAGTGTCACTAAATTTAAACTTAATTACAAAAAGCGTGAATAAAATTTTCCTGAAACTCTAAGGATTTGATTCTTAAAATTGGAACTTCAAGTACCAAATAGAAATTAAGTGCATACTTGCAAATTAAAAGTTAGCCACTGTTTTAAGATAAAAAATAGGAGTTATCCTTCACATAATCATTCAAAATGAGCAATTGAGGCAACAAGCATATACATTAAATTATATGAAATTGCTATCTGCCACCAAGGCCCGGCCTGGACTTTTACACCATTTCTATTCACCATTTTTTTTTTTCAGTGTCTTCATCGTTTCTAGTCATCATGGTTATGAGATGGCAAAAAAAAAAAAAAAGGTCATCATGGTTATGCTAGTTTTGCCAAAATGCTCATGTTTAATATATGAATATCGAGAGTGTCATCTTCCTTAACTATTCCATCAGCGGCATCAACACCAACCAGTTTTCCAGTCGCCCCACGCTGTGCACCACCCAAAATCTTGACTCTGTCCGTCTTCCTGGGTGTCACAATCTCAATATCACTAGGAAGTGCAGTGATCGTCTCACCATTGCCGCTTGAACCTAAAGCTATCCTACAAGAGCCATCCTGAACCAGAAACACACCATTGTCAGTGAACCTGCTCTGGAGAAACTATTCCAAGATATATACAATTCCAAGATATCCCACGATGTTAGCCAAGTGGTAACGGAAATATGGCATGAAAATGATATAGCTGTTGTCTATTACATAATATACAATTTTGACTTTAAATCTCCAATATTTTTCTTAAAATTTACAGCATACCAACAGATGTTGCTAAATTCTTTTAAAATAATGCACTAAATCTTATAATTACTTATCACTTCACATTTCTTCTCAAATTCTCACAAGCTATTACAGTTATATTTATTTCTATTTTTAGCTATGGTCATACAGTCTCATACATTCATCCTTCTTTTTTAATTTAGTTGAATAAGGGTTGCAACAAATGTCACCGAATGGCTCCTGAATTTCTCACGATTAATTTGTGAACAGACAGGAAGTAGAAATATAGAAATAGAGCTAATTGAATTACACATACCGGAAGCACATCCCTAATGACTCCCACAATGGTGTCGTCACCGGACCTGCGTACATTGACCAATATATCCGGTAACAACCAAGGCCCTTCATTGTCCCCACCTGCCATGGACCAGTCGTTGTCATTCATATTTGCAAAAACTTGAAAAGAGAGAACCCTACATCTAGAACTCGAGTAAAAAGAAGGTACAAGATAAGAATATTGCTTCACAATTAATTGATCTCAAGCAGAAAACCAGCATCTAGCTGAACAATTAGTAATCGGCTGGCGCCACGAAACTAAAGTCACTCAAGCAATTTCTGGTTCGTTCTATTATGTATATATATGAATCTAACCCAGAGATATAGATCTGCTCCTAAATGAAAGCAATACATGTTCATGGACCATGGTGATGAAATCCTTCTCTTTTAGAACTGATTCCATTCTAACCAATCCCACATCTTTCACAGTTCACACTTGACAGTACTAACATTAAATTAGAAATATCACATTGTAGCATGAACAATCAGAAACATACTAAGAAAATCTACAACCTCCAACATAAGAAAGAAACACATACCTACTACAGGTGACATAATATCCAACCCACCACCTCCAGGTGTCATTGGCTGTCCACCAGGCGTACCAGGTAGATATGCAGAACTTGGTGTCATGGGCAGCTGCCCACCAGGAGTTGATGGCAAGTAAGGGCTTGGAGCATTTACTGCAAAGCAGACAACAGTGTGCATTATACTCTGCAGAAGTGTGGAGTATAGCATGGATTATTGCAAATGGAAACTCTTTTCTATTCCACTAACGGGGAAATGTGACTCAGAAGGGAAAAGACTCTCCCACATTTTTGGTAAGTGTAACTCAATAAGAATATTCAATGGGACTACCATAAGCAGGACTGCTATCTCTGGGTGTTCCAGCTTCACTATAACTGCCACTGGGAGTGTTAGCCCAACCTGAACCCGGAGTAGGTGCTTCATAGGTTCGTGAGCGAGGACTTCCTGGCTGAGAGATGAAAACAGAATATATAAACAAGAAACACAGGATAATGTTCCACATATCTAATTACCATCTTGGACAAGATTGCATACCTGATACTGTGGACTGGCCACCCAAGAAGCAGGGTTCCCATCTTCCCAGTTATCCCTAATTTGATATCACTCAAAGTATCACTAGAAATATACACTCAAAATAAGGGTGGCCTTAAAGAACATATACAAGACTGCGATATAATTACATCAACAAGATATAGGAAATCAGAAATCAATGCAACCACTTGTTGAGTTTAGATCAAACCATTAAACAAAAACAATTCCATTATGTTTTGCAACAATCAAAACTGACCCATCAGCTGTAAGAGGACAAACATTTGCATTGAATTTCATACTTAAAATGAGGGGCCAGTAAATCAAAGAAATTAGTCCATATTTGGTGATATTCAGAGAATGTAATAATTACAGATTTTGTTTAACCATACAACATTGCTCAATTCTAGTGGCAAGGAAAAAAAATGGAATTATACAAACAACAATAAATCCGGAAATTCAGTAACGAACCTTGGTGGGCTCATTGGTGTGTAAGGATTCCATGCTCTGTCACGCATAGGCGTCCTCATTCCATCATGAATAGGAGTTGCTGTGGCAAACATCACAGAAATAAAAACTAAAAGTAAGGAAAAAACCATCACAAGCCTATATAGGAGACACAAAAGTGGGATAAGCTAACTTTAAAAGAACAGACCTCCAGGATCTCTCATAGGAGTCGTATATGGATGTAGAGGAGTTCGTGAAGGATGCATAGGGGTCTCACTTCCCGAGCCATATCGAGATGTGTCCCTAGTAAACTAGAACAAGTTAGCAAATTTAAATTCCAAGCAACTAAAAACAAAAGAAGGTAAGATTAAATTTACCGGAATGGAGTTGAGACATTCACGTTATCAGAAATATGATTGCGATCAACTGCACATAAGACATAAGCTCTAGTTCATAAAGAGAACAGCACAATCAAGAAGACATAAAAATGGAGTCCCAAACCAAAGAAACTTGCCTGTAACAACCTTCATCTGGGACTCCAATTCAACCCTGATAGAGGGGCCTTTAACATCTACAACACGGCCCTTGTAGCCTTTGTACGGACCCTGGCGAACTTTAATAGCCGCACCAACTAAAGCGTCATGCCCTCTTCCACCCCTATGCCTTCCTCCAGCTACAGCATGGTAATTAGATGTTAGTAATAACAATATACTTTTGAATATATGCAATAAATGAAACTATGAAAAGAATATCAATCTTATTGAATACATTTATCAAACATACTGTTACAAATGAGATTAAAACTGAATAAGGTGTTAGCTACAGAATTAAAATGGCCTTTGCAGTTAGCAACGTACGATGCAGAGGTGGACCTCCTCTAGGCAATCTTGGAGATTGGGGAACACGAGGTGGAGTTTTGAAATGGGAGAATCTTGAAGCCAAGGAACCACCCTATAGAAGTAGTGACGTCAATGCAAGGTTCAGATATTTAATGAGAAAATTTTCAGAAATAATTTTATCAAAATAAATGGATAAGATGCATACGTTTCTATCACCGTTTGCACGTGATCCACCAACCACCACACAGGATTGGGATTTCGCACAAATAAAGCCAGCGTGCTCAAGGTGATGACGATCATAGACGAACAAAACTCCTCTAAAGATATGTTCAACAGGACCTTGTTTCCCCTAATGTGTAACAACCATAGTAGCTACCTCAATAATAAAACCAATAATGGTAGAAGATTAATCTAAAAAATAAAAAATAAGAATCTGACTTTGCATGGACCCTCAAGAATTTTGACGACATCTTTCACCGATATCGTGTTTTTGGACCGATCCTGTGCGCATGTTTTCTTCTCAATCTTGTATTTGATCTCTCTTAATCTAACAAGTGCAACCTCCGGTCGATCTGGGACCCCCTTAAGAACCTGGAAAGTGATGCGCTAAATTCAATATGGTGCTGACAATAATTAGTTTGACCATTCAAATTGTGCACTAATTTACCTGGAAAGCTTCACTCTCCACACGTATGATAACACCAAAGCTCATATTACTGCACAAAAACAACTTAAATAACAAAGCTAAACTAAAAGAAAGGAAATAACAATGACTGAAGAAAACAAAATCTTACTCCAGCAGCACAAGATCGTGAAGCTCATACTCTCCAATTCGTGTAATACCAGATGTTACCTCAGAGCTCTCCACAACATTGTCAGCAAAAACACGAATCTGATGATGGCATATATTAAAGTTACTACTAATCCTTTTTCAATGAAAACCATTATCCACTTAAAGAGTTCAAAATTATATAAGAAGTGCATTACTTACAAGTTCCTTTGTTGTATCAGAAACTATATTTACGACATGCCCTTGAACCGAAACTACCATACCAGTTGCACCTTCTGTTGCACCAGATACAACCTTGACATGATTTCCAGGTTCAAAGTACTTGCAAAGTTCTTTGTCACTAATAGCAAGAGTTCTCTGCAAATTAAATGAACAGGTACAGGAAGTAAATACGTAGTTCACCTTATAATCATTAATAGGACTCTAATTCTAATGACATACAGGTATCCTTGAAAAACGACAACATATTATGTTTGTGTTTTACCGGAAGGCCCTTCTCATTTGGTTTGATATGAACAGTATCTTCCTCAACTTTTTCAACCGACCCCTTCAAATTCTTAAGATCACCTTTGACAATGATAACTCGATCACCCTTCATAAAATGGCCTTTCTTTCTGTTTGCAAAGAGAGTTGACAAACTAGCCATGTCACCATCCCCATTTTCACCAGGTTGCCGAAATTTCTCGAGTTCATCAAAACTTGGTTGAGTATTCTGAGTGCTGATTGATTTCATGGATACTGTTTTATATAAGAAACCATCTTTGAACATCATCCCTCCTATATTCTCAAAGTAATCACCAGTCATTGGATCTCGTCTACGCTCTACACGAATATGCATTTCTCTGGACATAAAATATGTTTACATTAAAAAATTTACTTAACACAAAAATTGAATAGCAACTATTGTTGCAAATCCAGATCATAGAAATATAGAACACAAGATTACCTAGCTTCGTCAACGTTCATAAAACGTGGCGGAGGAGTAAATGCCTTTTTCTTTGGAACTTCCCTACCTTCCTGAAACAAAGTGACTTGCTTTGTAACTACTATGTCATAACAACTAACTGCTGCGATTGCATTAATTGTGAAAGCCATATTATTCTCATATATCAACCATATACACATACAATATTCTACCATCTCTTTCAGCTAAAAGAAGACAATGCCTTAACATGATAATATTTACTGTTTATAGCAAATGACAGCTTGTTCATATATAATGAGAATAAAAAGCACAAATTTATGGATGACAATGTAGTTACGGAATTTTAGTACAGGAATCTATCAACAAAGAAATGATCACATACCAATTTACTTGCAAGGGCCTGTAAGTCAATCCTTGGAATTAATTTCACTGTAACTCTCTGGCGCACATTATCCACATCTACAACCTACAAAATAAAGTGTTAGACAAGTAAAGACACAAAAGTACGCAAGGACAAAAAGATAAGAGAAAGGTAAAGGGAGAAGCTCGGTACCTTTGCAAGGTCACCTTTATATGTCCCAATCTTCATTCTCACCCATGTATCCCTGGAAAGATCAACTGCTTTGCTTTCTACTGAAAGTACATCAGTCATTTCTTTGATTGGGACAAGCATTACTTTAGCAGAATATATATTACGCATGCCCTTGATAGCCTAAAGCAAAACAAAAAAAATGAATCAGATTTAATTCATGGCAATGCCAGTTACTGTAGAAGTCCGTGAAAGTTGGTGCTTCCTTACACTTTCAAGTTTAGCAAGAAAGACATACAATGCAACAATTACATACCTCTCTCACATGGGCTTCTTTGTCTGCTTCAATATATATATAGTTTTTGAGATGATCAAGTGCTATAGCTGATCTTATTTGCAACTCAGTTCCTTTATCTATGCACTTCTGCATTAGGCAAACAGCTGCCTCCCGCTCATGACCGATCTAACAGACACAGATATACAGTCAATATATATCATGCTGAATCAAATGCTCAGTATGAGTAAGGAATCATGGAGGCATTAACACCATACCGCGCATTTCACCATCCACAATTTTGGATCCCTAATGGATGGCAAAAGAGCTTGCTGTTCTACATCTGTCGTCTCCTCGTCATATTCTGCATGACTTGATCTTGCATATCTTGCCTGTATGCTTCTCTCAAGAGCTTCAACATCTTCCTGGTCATCCTCACGTGGAAGCATCGGCCTACGATGCAACCTTCTACCATCCTCTTCATCCTGTAGGTCAGCTCCGCTCTCTACTATGAAGTCTGCATGTTCAGGCACTCAGTATGTCAGAATAACCAATAACAAAGACCTAGTACATAAACAAAATGAGAAATAAAATAGGCTTAGTAGCCAAACAATATAGCATGCTAAATAAATTCCACAAGCACAAAACATCGACTTTGTTTAAAAATCAGAAGAGGATGCACAAAAAGTTGATGAGAGAAACCAAATTTGAGAGCACACAATAAATCGATTGAGCCTACTAAGGTAACTGGTGATTTAGAGTCTATTCTACTGGCCAGCTAAGGATAACCAATGGTTGGACCCAAAAAGAAATTTCAAATAGTACATAGGAGCAAAATTGAGAGTGAATTTATGTCAGTTAAACGTTCTTCAAAAACAAAAATTGGGTAATTAACGTAGAACAACTAAGAAAAACAATACTTTACAACAAATAATGCTGTTTTGCCCAATTTTAAAGGCTATGCAACAAGCTCTGCATCAAAGAAGCATAATAACAGATGCAGTAATCTACATGACAGATTCCACACTCCACATTTATTTCAACTTGTCTAAAACCCAATAGCAATCCAGCCCTAAATCCAATTATCCCAACTATCTGCCCTTGGTGGTAAACCTAAAAGAGCACCCTGATCTACATTCCGTAGCAGTCAGAAAAATTAAACATATACCTCAATTGATTTTATAACAATCACCCCATTCCCAATCCCTGATTTTAAAAAAAAATTGCGTCATGTGCTACAGCAGTAGAAATGCCTATTTCTAATTTTGGAGGAAATAGATGTCATACTGGTGCAAAGTTGTGAAACCAAAAAAAAATAGTTATATGTTGCAAGAACGCACAATGATAATGCTAACTCTGATCTTTCCATGGACATAACTAAAACATAAGTATCCAGTCCGCAACTACATCCATCATAAATAACCTTACATGAGTTTCTGATTCAATATTGGTTCAAAATCTGACTGCTCCACTATGTTATACATGAAACACCTAACCAATGGACCAAGTGTTTCATCAAATTTCGATTCTCACCCAAAATTTGTATCCGCATCTCTGTCAAACATGCCCAAGGATAAACACACACAAAAAAACACACATTGATTATAGATCAATAAGCTTCATTCCATCAACCTTTCTGACATTAAAAAAAAAAAAAAAACCTAAACTGGAGGATATTCACCTAACTCATATGTTGAATCAAGATGTTGTATAAGTATACGAACTAAGCCAGGTTCACCAATCAAATAACCAAGAAGTTATGTAGGCGCCAACTCCCACATCTTCCTTTTCATTTCTTTTTTTCCCCTTTTCTAGTAACAGTTAACCAAAAATCAAAAAACAAGACAAGGCAAGATCAAACATGCACCATGGAAAGCATGGGGTCCAAGAGGAGGTTGTATCTTTGACAAACACACTTGACAAATTAAATACAAGATTCCTCTTTCTTGAAAATCACTCGTCCAAGACACAATAGTTTACCTATTATGTAATACTCAGCTTCACAACAATAAACCAAAAGTTCAATTTTTGAAAAACAACCGATTCCAACGATATTGAACTAAGCACCAGACAAAAAAAAATTATATCCAATCTTGATTATCTCATTTGAACGTGTAAAAGATTCCAAATTCAACTAATTTCACTCTAGGTTAATGACGCGATAAGCACAAATTGCAAACTACAAACTTCAAAATTCGGCATCAATTTCAATAAATTCATCTATTAGTAAATTTCATTGAGAATGACACACAAGAAACACAGAATCCAGCCGGTGCGTTTCCATATACTAACGTCAAAACATAAAAATACAAAATTTAGCACCAAATTCGCTAAAAAAAATTATCAATAAGTCAAATTCATTCTCGACAAATCCCCTAAATTCATCCATCCCTTAATCTCATCATCACTTAATCATACAAGAAAACATAAAATCAATGAATGGAATACAGAAGAGAGAAACCCTAACCGTCTTCGCCTTCTTCTTCCTCCTCGTCCTCATCGCTGTCTACCGCGGCTTCGAGATCAAAAAACTCCGACCCCGACCTCCTCTTAGCACGACGACGCCCACCACCGCCATCGTAATCGTCCTCATCATCTTCCTCTTCCTCTTCATCGTCCTCCTCTGCAGCGTCGTCTATGAAACTCGATCTCCGCCGCCGCTTCCGGCCACCTCGTCCTTCGTCTTCATCCTCTTCCTCATCATAAGCCTCCTCTTCGTCCTCCTCTGGCTCCAGATCGTCCTCGTCCTCGTCTCGCCGCCGAGGCATGGTTTTCTCTCACAGCTACGATCGAAACGTTCGCTTTAAACAGAGAGATGACACAGAAAATAGACTGAATCTCAATGTAATTGTGTGCTTATAGCTGCCATATATGTATTTATATGTAAACCCTAGAAGAAGGAGATAGGAGAAAGGAGGCGTCCGTTAATGGTGGTGATCAGAGGAGTTTCATCCTTGGGCTAATGAGGCGGTTTGGGAGCAGATGTCGATGATGACCAGTGTGCCGTCAGATAATTATAGTGAATGACATTTTGCACCCTAAAAGATTTTTCAAATTCTTAATTTATCTTAATAAAAATTAAAATTATTATATTAAACCCTTAATAAAATAAAAAATGTAGCAATTTAGTTCAATTTATTATCTTTTCTGATAAATATTTTTATTATATTTGTTAATCAAAAATATAAACTTTTTTAGAGTACAAAATGTCTTTTATCTAGATAATTATAATTAAATTATACTTTGAACTCTACAATTATCGTCTTAATCTTACTTTACTTTTTAAACTATTAAATTTTCTATAGTATCTCTCCAATATACATTTCGTAGGTTAAGGTAAAATAAAATTGCATCGTTCGGGGACATGGTCAAATTCCGGTTTACTTCATTTGCCACCAAATCGGATATTAATTATTAGAGCAATGTAAAACTAACAACAAATATTGAAGGTAGAATATGAAAACTTTGACAGTTGAGGGAGTAATGTGACATGGTTTCATAGTTTGGCTAACCAAAATATAATTTGCTGGATATTTTTGTTTGTTTGATTTGGGAAAATTACGCTCAGGCTCCTCAAAATTTGTCACTTATTTACTTAGACCCTTTATATTTAAAATATTATATACAAATCCCTAAAGTTTATCCGCATGTAACATTTAGACCTTTATTGTCAATGTTCATTAATATATTTGTTAGTAAATTATACTTAAATCCTTTAAAATTTATAAATATGTAACACTTATACTACTCAAGTTTAAAATATTATACTTAAACTAAAAATATTTCAATTAAAGATAGAATATTAAATATTTTAAATTTTATAACCAAAATTTATACTCTATTATATCATTTATTAAAATAAAATCATAAAAAAAATTATTTTTTTCTTAAAAAATTATAATTAGTACTAATATCAAAATTTGGACGACCTCCAAATTAATATCAAAATTTGGACGACCTCCACAACAATTTGTTGGGCTTGGATCACCTGCAAAAGAAATCAGAGATTGGAGTAGAACTCCGAAGATGAACTCTCTAATGCCAAAGTCTGTAAGTAACTCAAGTATATGAATTATGTATAGTAATCAATATAAAAATATCAAATAACTTAATTTAACACTCAGTTGTATATTATTATACTATCTATTGGAATAAAACTAAAAAATCAAATAAGAAATCAATTTGTAATAGACATAATATTTTCTATATTTAATTAGGATAATTTGGTATTCTATTAGTTCCGTAAGTAATAAGAGGGTTAAATGTAATATTTTAAATTTGAGAAGTCTAAATTTTATATATTTATAAATTTTAGATGGTCTAAGTTTAATTTATTAAGGACATTGTCTATGTATAAATTTTAGGGGTCTGTATATAACATTTTAAATATCAGTGTGTCTAAATAATTAAGAGACAAACTTCAAAAGGATCGTATGTGTAATTTTCCCTTTGTTTTGTGGTGTTGGATCGGTTTGGTACCATTATCCGGATTGGGGGAGGTCCACATGTTTTAGGGCAGGATCGGACCAACCAATATGGGCGCAAAAATATTCATTGGCCCCAGTCTTATGAAATATAATATTGATACGACAGAATTAATATTTAAATATTCATATAAAAATTACTTTTGTTGTGTTTGAGATATGTTGGGTTAAGTCCAAATAGTCCAATTATGTGTTAAAGTCCAACTCCAGTTGAGGAGCCCAACCTCATTTTGAATCCACCAAGCCCAAGACAGTCCAAGATCGGTTAGACTTTTTGCTTAGCACGTCATCAAGAGGAGAGCACGGGAAGCTTATCTGCACCACCGAAGGAAACGGTCCAATCTTTGACTGCGTTTCATGAAGAGCTCCCCAACCTCCTCCTTCCGTTGAGGATAAGTCGTGATCTCCACCAGAATGATCTTTTAGTGCTATAAAGTAGCCTTGAGGGTAAGTCATGATCTCCACCAGAATGATCTCTTAACTGCAAAAGTAGCCTTGAGGATAAGTCATGATCTCCACAAGAATGATCTCTTAGCTGCTATAAAGTAGTCTCAATCTGTTATGAGACTACTATAAATGGCACGCCCCACCAACACTTACAGAGGACAGACCGACGACCGGAGACCACTGCTTCTTTGATTCTCCATTCTCTCAAAGCTTGTATCTCTATTCTCCATACCTTTGAATTAATAAAATACCCGGCAACTGAAGTCATTGAAGAGTGGACGTAGGTCGAATTGACCAAACCACTATAAATCGTGTTTTCTTTAATTTTGTCATTGATTTCACTGCATTTATTACCTACACTTGACAGGTGGTGTGCAAAACCATTTTTGTGCATCATCAGTTTGACGCCGTCTGTGGAAAATCGACAAAATTCTCACTCCTGAACATTACATCCATTAACTAATGGCGATCACTACTCGATCCATGAACCAACATGAAGACAATCCTCCACGAGAGGAGGAGGTTGCTTCCCCGCCTACCAACCCTGTTCCGGATACTCTAGCTCCGAATCCCCAGCAAATATTGGAGACCATGCAGCAACTGGTTGCTCAAAACCAACAGTTACTGCAACTCATACTTGCTGGACAAGGAGGAGCACCACACGGAGGTGCACAGCATGGAGGACCCCAAGGTGGAGCACCACACGGAGGTGCACAACATGGAGGGCCCCACGGAGGTGCACAACATGGAGGGCCCCAAGGAGCTTCACGTCCTAGACATCAAGGAGCACCACGCCCTGTTGCTCCACGCCCCGGGCGCCCCATTGGGTGCCCCACTTCGGGAAGCCCAACATGAGGGAGCTCCACCTCCCCCTCCCCTTGCTTCCTAGGGAGAGGACCCTTATCTCCAGGAGGATGAGGGTGAAAACCAAAGCATGGAGCATGGAAGCCACTTCTATGATCATTCCAGAGGAGCCCCCAATCATTGGGACTAGAAGATAAAGGAGGTACAGAATCAACTGGGTGATGTCTTCAACGCTATGAAGGCACAGGGACCCGAGACTGTTGACCACCTGGTAAGGCGTACTGATACGCCTTTCAAACCTGATGTAGCAAACTACCCCCTCCCTCAGAAGTTCAAAATGCCATCTGTGGAGACCTTTGATGGAATAAAAGATCCACTGGACCACCTCGACACTTACAAGACCTTGATACAATTACACAACGTACCAGACGAAATCATGTGCAGGGCATTCCCAACCACGTTAAAGGGGTCTGCCCGACAGTGGTTTGCTAAGCTCTCCCCCGCCTCTATTGCCTCTTTCGCTGAGCTTAGCAGATCATTCATCTCACACTTTATTGGAGGGCGTCGCCACCAGAAGCCAGTTACGCACCTGCTTAGTATAAAGCAAGACCGCGAGGAGAGCCTGAGGAGTTACCTCACTCGTTTTAACCAGGAGGTACTCCAAGTTGGAACCCGACGACAAGGTGACGATGACCGCCTTCTTGGGTGGCCTCCGTTCATCAAGCTTCCTTTTCTCAATTCTGAAGCGCATGCCAGAGCTGCTAGCCAAGGCCCAAAAGTACATAAACGCAGAAGACATCACAAGGGCCAGACGGGGTGAGTCTTCCAGAGCAGGGGAGAAAAGGAAGGAAAGGGAGAGGGACGATAAGAAGGGGACCATCAACAAACATGGCAGGACAGAGAAAGTCCCTGTCAAGGACCGGCTAGGTCCTGCTCCTCAGAGGAACCGTCAACCCTTCACTCCCTCAATGCTTCCGTGGAACACATCCTATTCCAGATCCAGGATGACCCCGCGATAAAGTGGCCTGAAAAAATGAAGTCTCCTCCAAATCGCAGAAATCCTAACAAGTATTGCCGCTTCCATCGTGACCACGGGCATGACACCGACGATTGCTACGACCTCAAGAGGCAAATTGAGAAGCTCATCCAGCGTGGTCACTTACGCCAGTACGTTGCTGGAAGGGAACGAGCACCACAACCTCACAACCAGGAAGATCAGCAGCCCGTGGGGGAAATCCACACCATCTCAGGGGGACTAGCAGGTGGGGGAGAATCACTTTCCGCGATGAAGGCCCATGCCAGGAAGGCAAGACATGTCTACGAGATGCGCCCATCTAAGGTGCCGAAGCAGGAAGACGACGAGGTCATATCTTTTTCAGACAAGGACCTGGAGGAAATCCAGCACCCCCATGACGACCCCTTGGTGCTCACCATGACGGTGGCCAATTTTCATGTGCACAGGATCCTGGTGGATAGTGGCAGCTCTGCAGATATCCTGTTTGCAGAGGCCTATGACAAGCTCAACCTGGGCAGGGAGAGGCTACAGCCAATCAGGTCACCCCTCATTGGATTCTCAGGGGAAAAAGTGTATCCCCTTGGATCCATCACACTTCCCGTCACCGCCGGAGTAACACCCCGAAGCTCCACAGTCATGGTCAATTTCCTGGTAATAGAGTGCCCGTCAGCCTACAACATCATATTAGGGCGGCCAGCTCTTAACACATTAAGAGTTGTGCCCTCTACCTACCATCTCGTTCTCCGCTTTCCAACCTCAAATGGAGTCGGAGAGGTCAAAGGGGACCAAATAACAGCCAGAGAGTGCTATGTATCCTCTATGAAGGCTAGGAAGCCCCAAGAAGCATTGCAGGTTGAGGTCCTTGACCCAAGGGATGACTCCGCAACAGAAAAGGAGAACCAGTCGAGGAACTCATCCCTGTGGTCTTAGAAAAGGAGCACCCAGACAGAAGAATTTACATTGGCTCTTCCCTTTCTGAAGAGCTGGCTCCCCTGTTGATTGATTGTTTGAAGCGTAATATGGACATCTTTGCTTGGTCGCATGAGGACCTTGAGGGCATCGACCCGGAAGTAGCTACCCACCGCCTCAATGTCGATCCACTGTACAAGTCTGTTCGCCAAAAGTTAAGGGGAGCCTCCACTGAAAGGGCCCAAGCCATGGACAAGGAGGTTAAAAAGTTGATTGATAATGCGGTAGTCAGGGAAGTGGCGTATCCAGAGTGGC